CGCTCCATCCAGGACTCGCTCCATCCAGGACTCGCTCCATCCAGGACTTGCTCCATCCAGGACTCGCTCCGTCCAGGACTCCATCCAGGACTCGCTCCATCCAGGACTCGCTCCATCCAGGACTCGCTCCATCCAGGACTCACTAAATCCAGGACTCGCTCCATCCAGGACTCACTAAATCCAGGACTCGCTCCATCCAGGACTCGCTCCATCCAGGACTCGTTCCATCCAGGACTTACTCCATCCAGGACTCGCTCCATCCAGGACTCACTCTCTCATCAGACACACATGTTCCTCTGACCTGAAGACAAAACTAAAGTACAGGTGATAACCCACACTGGTCATGTGACCTGCTTTACTTCCTGTACAGACAGAAACACTGTTCTCATTTTATTGAGTGTTTGTCACTGAGAGTTCTGCACAACAAGCCTGGATCGTTGGTCTGTGCACAAATGACAAAGAACTTTGTACGTGAAATGTTGAAAGTCCTCCACCTTAGATCAAACCCCCCAGTTCAACCAGTATCACTCCTCTTTGTGTGGCAAGGACCAGTTTACACCCCGCTGCTTATTTAGGAGCGTCTCTGGCTCACGTTTGTTTAAATTCCTCATTTTGCTGCGTCTAGACGTCGTTTCTGGTTGTGCAGAGAGAACGTGCACGTCTGCGTCGTGTCTGTTCCACGTTTCATGAGGAGGAACGAATGTCAGAATGTGCTCCAAGCATCTCGTTTTGTCCCGACGCCATCATGGGTGCGACCGCTCGTTGATGCACGGCCTCTGGTTCCTGCAGTGATCTTTGTCAGGATTATATTCAAGTCCTTATAATTAATTAATTAGTTGTTGTGATGATTTAATATTATCGTGACAACCTTCTCTGCTGGACTGATGCGGTCTTTGCTTCCTTCCCTGCAGATGAGCGAGCCGGACAGCAGCAGCTCCTCCTCTCAGGCGGCGGCAGACTTGATGGACGAAGAGTTGGAGAGCGAGGAGGGGAAGAGCAGGAAGGATGGCAGTCCCACCCCCAGTCTGTCGGGCTTTGCCTCGTTGCGCGCCGTCATGCGCATCAAACACAAGTACCAGGCCATGAAGAAGAGGCGTCAGGAGATGGCCCTCGGGCCGGGGCCCCCTGGGAGCCTCGCAGGAGCTCCAGGACGCACCAGTCCCAAGATCTTCACTTTTGACGGAGCCACGCCCAGCACCTTCCCTGCCTTCTCCTGCGTTCCTCAGAAGAAGAAGAAGAAAAGAAAGAAACGCGTGTTGTTTCCCAACGATGTGGGGCGCAAAGCGGTGCCGAAGCCGGAGCGAAGCCGGGCCACGTACTGCCTCTACCTGCTGTTCGTCATCGTCTTCGTCCAGGTAAACCGCTTCCACTTCCTGTTTGAGGTGCCGTGTTGTGAACTACAACTCTGACGAAGCTGAACCTCCAAACCCGGTTTATTCACAATAAAACAGTAAATCAGTCAAACTGAGACCATTTATTATTTTAATGGCAGAGTTCATCTCAAACGTTCAGCTCCAGGTTCTTAATCGTCTGTAGACATTCAGGACCTGAGGAGACCAGGTGGAGGTTTATGAGGGTCCCATCCTGGTCCTGGTAGGATTCTAGCTCTTCAACCATCCCAGGTCTTCATTGCTGGAATTTTTTATTTTTATTTTTTAACGGAGAACGCTGTAACCAAGTTTAAAGAATCTCTTCCATTCTTATTTTCTTCCATCTTGCAGAGTAACTCAGCAGAGAGCAGGGATTAAATAATCTTGTCGATAATTTTACAACTTCAGTTCAGACTTCACTTGATAAAATTTCTCCTGTAAAAAAAGAAAGTCATCAATCGGAGGTTCTCCTTGGTTACATTCAGAGCTGCAGACTTTAAAACAGAAATCTAGAAAGTCAGAAAGAAAATGGTGCTCCACTAACATGAAGATTATTATTAAGCTGGAGATAATCTGCTGGAAGTTAATCATTAATAGATAAATGTTCATTGTTATGCTGATGATACAGTTATATTTGTCCATGAATGAATCCAATCATCTTCTCAGACTACGAACACGTCTTAAAGACATAAAAACCTGGATGACCCTTAATTTTCTGTTTTTAAACACAGACAACAAGACTGAGGTTTTAATCTGGCATTAATCTGTCCTCCAGCTGTAATGTTAAAAACCTTGGTGTTATTTTTGATCAGGACATGTCTTTTATCCCCCACATTAAAAACGTTACTAGAACCTCCTTCTTCCACCTGCGTAATATCACTAACATTAGAAACATCTGATCTAAACATGATGCAGAAAAACTGGTCCATGCATTTGTCACGTCTAGACTGGACTATTGCAATGGTTTATTATCTGGGTGTCCAAATACTTCTTTAAAACGTCTTCAGTTGATCCAAAATGCTGCTGCCAGAGTCTTAACTGGAGTTACTGGGAGAGATCAGATCTCTCCAGTTTTAGCTTCTCTCCATTGGCTCCCTGTCAAATCCAGAATAGAATTCAAAATCTTACTTCTAACCTACAAAGCTCTCAACAACCTAGCTCCATCTTATATTACAGATCTTATTGTTCCATATTTTACTAACAGAGCACTTCGCTCTCAGACTGCAGGTTTACTCGTGGTTCCTAGAGTTTCCAGCAGCAGAATGGGAGGAAGGTCTTCCAGTTCTCAGGCTCCTCTCTTGTGGAACCAACTTCCAGTTTAAGGCCGACACATTGTCCAGTTTTAAGACTTTCCTTTTTCATAAATCCTATAGTTAGGGTCGGTTTACAGAAATCTAACAGAACAAGTTTAGACACAAGTCCAGACGTCAGATCAATACTAATGGGTATGGATTATTTAAAACATTTTAAAAGATGTTAACAGTTTTGAAGGGAAATGACCAAACGATATGAAACCATTGACTCGTGTCCTCTCGTTTCTAACTCAGGTCTACAACGCCATCGAGAACCTTGATGACCACGTTCTCAGATACGATCTAGAGGGTTTAGAGAGGACCCTAAGGAGGGAGGTGTTTGGGCAGCAGGGGGCAGTCGAGGGTCTTCTGTCTCACCTGAAGGACTACCTGTCCACGTATGTTCACAACAAGCCCCTGGTGGTATCTGTGCACGGGCCCAGTGGAGTAGGAAAGAGCCACCTGGGGCGCCTCCTGGCCGGACACTTCCGCTCGGTGGTGGGCGACACGCTGGTGTTGCAGTACTACGTTCTCCACCACTGCCCGCAGGAGGCAGACGCTGCGCAGTGTGCTCGCAACCTTTCCACCCTCATCTCAGGCATAGTGGAGCGAGCCGAAGAGGAGGAGAAGATCCCGCTCTTCATCTTTGATGAGGCTGAGCACATGCACGTGGAGATCCTGGACATGCTGCGGCAGCTTGTCGCCTCCAAGCAGTGCAACGAGTACCTGAACGCCATCTACTTGTTCCTGAGCAACCTGGGGCACTCGCACATCACCAAACACTTGCTGCAGAACTCCTCAAGTATTTCTGTGGCCATGACGGCCTCGGGGCGCCACGCCAACCTGCTGAAGGAGCTCACGCCGGTGCTACGCAACGTTCTGGAGAAGCTTCACCCCCTGTGGACGGAGGCGGACATCTTACCTCTCAGCCTTCTGGAGAAAAGTCACGTGATGGAGTGCTTCCTGGATGAAATGACTCGAGAGGGCTTCTACCCAGATCATACCAACATCGAGCGCCTCGCGGGGGAGATCGAATACCACACGGTTGTTGCGGGACGCGAATACTCCCAGACAGGCTGCAAGCAGGTGGTGGCAAAGGTCAACCTGTTGTGAAACTTTCTGCAGGAATCTTGACATTCCTTCCAGATTAGAAGAAGCCAAGTGAGAGACAAGTGGATGAGGCAACTCTTACGAAACCCGAGAAAGACCACAACCCAGAGCCGAGGCTGTCAGCAACCGCTCGGTGCTGGTTTGTTGACGGCACAGTCTGGGTGGAAGACTCGCTTCCGTGGGAGGAATCCAGCGTGGGAGGAATCCAGCGTGGGCGTGAACAGATGCATTTACAAACTCACGTACAGCTCAACAGCAAATTTAACGTCAACCCTGATTATGATGCAAAATTAAACCCGTTCTTTACAGGAGACGTAGCTTTGTAAACTGTGGAACCCATTTCTGCCAGTGAAGAAATAAAATGTCAAACGTTATAAAAATGAGTTTCAGTCATTATGAGGTAAATTCTCATGTTTGACTTTCCTAACAGACGTGCTTTTACTTTGAAAGCCATTATTATGACATACCATGTGACGTTTTATTTATTTATTTGGCAGAAACGGACTTCCATAAAAATAGGACTTTATTGTGAAATGAAATTATCTTCATGGATTTGTACAATTAGTTGTTTGGACTTTCAACAACGGTTCACTACCCAGGACCTCTTCTCGTGTAAACTATAAACTTCTTATCACCTGACGCCCAAAAGTGGATGATAATGTTTTTGCCCCGTCGGTCTCATGAGACGTCGGTTTTAACGAAACTTTCTAAACGGAGTCTTTAGATGCGTTTCTATAACTCATTAACTTTTGGACTAAATCGATTCCAAATGGAGAAGCTGAGAATTTTCCGTTGTTCTTCTGTTGTGCAGCAGCATATTATAAAATACATATTATATTTTTTATTAAAAAACATTTAGGTTGCCAAGAACAGAACAGAAAACCAGATGTTTTTACGTGAAAGCCCACATCTGTCACAACGTTCAGGAGAATCTGCTTTCGATTCATCGGGTTGCTTCTTGCAGTCGCTCTACAAATAAACTTTTATTATTTTGATTTGTCGCTGCAGAATGTGGTCGACTTTTATCCAAGAGCTGATATTACGTTCAAATCCTTTCTTTGTACACTTCAGCTAAACCGAGGGTAGCTTGAGCCTGGTGGGAGTCGTTGGGATGGAGCGATCGTTTAAAGGCAGCTCAAGGACGTTTGTGACTGTCGTCAGAGGAAAACCTTCATTTAAACATTCGTTTAGCCAAAGAATGAATTCTGGACGTTCGTTCATTTCTCATGTCACACAGGAACCGTTTAATCTTCTGGTAACGATCGTCACCAACGAGAGGAGCGGCTGCCGGCGTCCCGACTTCTGCTTCGGCCGACTGCACATTTGATGGAGCCCTCATCATCATCATCCTCATCATCAGAGACGAAACACTTTTTGTTCTGCAGCTGAGATCTTACGGCTGAAGTTCAGGGTGGCTGTTCACCAGCGTGGAGGTCTTCATGTTTTCAGCCATGGTGGACCTCGTCTTTTAATCTTAATCTCCACCAGATTTTAATTTTGGAATTTCTCGTCCTGTGAAAACTACAAAGACCAAACGTGTTTAAATGATGATCCGTGGATCTCCAGCTACAAATTTAATGCGATTAAATTGATTCTCCAACATCGAGATGGAAACAAACAGTTTGAAATGTTTAATATGAACTCGTTTATTTATAGAAAACGATCTAAAGCAAAAACAGTTTGTCCAGCCCGGTCCAAGCAGAAGGTCCAGGTTTCATGGTTCTGGTTCTGGTGTCGCCATCAGTCCAACGTGAGATTTATTCACAGGAACATTTCAGGGTGAATGTTTTCGTCTTTCAAACAACTCGTCCTCCAGTTGGTCTCGAACACGTGAAACTAACAAAGTCAGGGGTTGAAATAAGACGAGTGTCCCGGTGCCCCCTGCCCCCCCGCACCGAGACCTGCTGCCATCTCCCAACAGTTCATACAAATAAAAGTGAATTGAAACTATTTGTTCAGGTTTTCCAGCAGGATTTCCACTCCCTTGTTGTCCTTGACTTGGCCGAGCTGTTTCCTGATGGAGGTCAGCGCCGCCTCCACCTCCGCTGCCACCGATTTATCACAGCTGTTCAGAAGGCTGCGCAGAAAACACAACGTCAAAAACACTGAACAAGTCATTCTGTTCGACTCTGCTGGTCAAAA